TTTGCTGCTGAAAAACAAAGAAATGAGTTCTAAGTTGATGAAAATCATCTAGTAAATTATCTAGTAAAGAGGGAAAATTGCAAATTTAGGAGAAATTACTACGAAATTTCTAAAAACAAAATCACTGTTTTCATGTTCATCTCTAATGAAGACAGAAGTTATTTCAGTAAAGACACAAATAGTTAAGAATAAAAGTGCCAGAGAAAATACATGCTATCCATTAATACTTAAGCTGGTGCTGCTCTCATGTGTTCTTTACAGCACATGTGTACGCTCCCGTGTGCTGCCTCCCACACACACTCACCCCAGCTGGAAACCAGTTTGTTAAACCTGAGGTTAAAGAGGCAATATCCAAAAGGTAATATAAACATGAATAATTCCTTCATGAAAGGAGTATGTCATTGGCCTACCTGTAATACCTGGTACCTCCCTCCTAAAATAAATTTAGTCCAATATAATGTGACCCTAGATTTACAAGCTTCTCTTCTGGAGCAGAAGATATATTTTGCAACTGAACTGAAATTTGGCTAGTTGATCAGTAAAACTGTCAACTCCTGAAACTACAGAAGCTAGTTATTCCTATTTTAAATCATGCTACTAATTTCCCACAATTTAAAAGTAAAAAATATTGCAAATTGTCTGTTATAAAAACAGTTACAGGATATAGAGAAGCTTGTAAATTTTGGGTCAAATTATATCAGACTAAATTTATTTTAGGAGGGAGGTACCAGGTATTACAGATAGACCAATAACATACTCCTTTCATGTTCTGTTCAAGGAATTATTCATGTTTATATTATCTATTGGATACTGCCTCTTTAACCTCAGGTTTAACGATGTAAAGCACAGGAAATATAGTCAATAATAACGTAATAACTGTATGGTGTCACGTGGGCACTAGACTTCTCAGGGTGATCACTTCACAAGGTATGCAAATGTCTAATAACTATGTTGTACACCTGAAGCTAATATAATATTGTATGTCCACTGTAATTAAAAATTATTAATTTTTAAAAATACAAAATAAAAATATAAGTATTGCATAAAATGTTATATAAATGTGCCAAAGAGACCTCCTGTGCCAAATGTTTACACATCCAATTGTTTTTGATACAGCTCAAGTAAGCATATTTTTATCACTTAGAGTCTGCCTGTTTTACATACTTAATGAAACTGCACTCAATCTCTGCTATCCTTAGATAAGATAGTTCCTGGGGCTACAAAGACTCCAAGTGCTGCTGCCCTACAGTGCTCTCTGACCCAGAGACTCTGCATCTTGCAGATGAGTGACGTGACACACACACAGTAAGTCCTCTCTCTGGTACCCCTTTACACAGGAGTTTCTGTGCATCGCCCCTTTCTGGATGTGGCCCTGCACTGCCATCTTTGCAAAGTCTCCAGCTGTGAGGGACTTTTCTTTACAACTTGTCAAAGCCCTAACTCTACATTCATGTAGCCAACTGCCTACCTGGCATCGCCACTCGAATATCTAAAAGTCGTTTCAAATTTAACATGTCCAAAATTGAATTCTTTGATTTCCTCCCCAAAACATAATCTTTCCCAAACTTCCACATCTCGGTAAATGGCCTTACGATTATTAAGACCAAAAACCCTGGAGTCAGCTTCGGTTCCTCTTTCATCTGCTCTCTACACCTTCAGCAATCCTGTCAGTGCTAACGTCAAAATAAGTGATTACGCCTTATCACTTCTTATGAGTCC